TCTTTCCTTAAAGCTCAGCGTATGGTTGAGAAGGGGTGTGTCGCGTATTTAGCTTATGTGAGAGATGTCAGTGTTGACACCCCTTCTGTTGATTCAGTTCCAGTGGTACGGGATTATCTCGATGTGTTTCCAGCTGATCTTCCGAGCATGCCGCCCGATAGAGACATCGATTTTGGCATTGATCTGTTGCCGGGCACTCAGCCCATTTCCATTCCTCCGTATCGTATGGCTCCTCCTGAGTTGAAGGAGTTGAAGGATCAGTTACAGGAATTTCTTGGTAAGGGTTTTATTCGACCCAGTATTTCACCGTGGGGTGCTCCTGTTTCGTTCGTGAAGAAGAAGGATGGTTCTATGCGTATGTGTATTGATTATCGCCAGCTGAACAAGGTTACAGTGAAGAACCGTTATCCTTTGCCTCGTATTGATGATCTGTTTGACCAGCTTCTGGGCGCACAGGTGTTTTCTAAGATTGACTTGCGCTCAGGGTACCATCAGTTGAAGGTTCGGGAGCCAGATATCCCGAAGACTGCCTTCAGGACTCGTGTATTCCCGCAGTCGGGAAGATCATGAGCAGCACCTGAGGATCGTGCTTCAAACCTTGAGGGAGAAGAAGTTATGTGCAAGTTCTCAAAATGTGAGTTTTCGCTGAGTTTTGTGGCATTCTTAGGCCATATGGTACCGAGTGAGGATATTCAGGCGGATCCGAAAAAAGTAGAGGCCGTGCAGAGTTGGCCCAGGTCGTCCTCAGCTATAGAGATTTGCGGTTTCCTTGGCCTGGCGGGCTACTACCATCATTTTGTGGAGGGGTTTTCATCGATTGCGGCCCCTATGGCTAGATTGACCCAGAAGGGTGCTCCATCTCAGTGGACAGAGGAGTCCGAGGCGAGCTTTCAAAAGCTCAAGACAGCTTTGACTACAGCCCCAATTTTGATATTGCCTACTGGTTCGGGGTCTTATACAGTCTATTGTGATGCCTCACGGGTTGGCCTCGGAGCGGTTGGCGGAGATTTATATCTGGGAGATCGTCCGTCTGCATGGTATTCCAGTTTCTATTATTTCATACAGAAGTACCCAGTTTACATAGCGGTTCTGGAGAGTCGTGCAGCAGGAGTTAGGCACTCGGGTGGAGTTGAGCACAACATTTCACCCCCAGACGGACGGACAGTCCGAGCGCACTATTCATATTCTTGAGGATATGCTCCGTGCGTGTGTGATTGAGTTTGGAGGGTCTTGGGATCATTTCTTGCCATTGGCAGAGTTTGCTTACAACAACAGTTATCAGTCTAGCATTCAGATGGCGCTGTTTGAGGCTTTATGTGGTAGGAGGTGCAGGTCTCCGGTGGGTTGGTTTGAGCCGGGTGAGGCCAGGCTATTGGGCACAGAGTTGGTTCAGGATGCATTGGAGAAGGTCAAGGTGATTCAGCATAGACTCCGTACAGCCCAATCCAGACAGGAGAGTTACGCGGGCAGGAATGTTCGTGATGTTTCATATATGGTCGGAGAGCGGGTTCTGCTTCGGGTTTCGCCTATGAAGGGCGTTAGGAGATTTGGGAAGAAAGGGAAGTTGAGTCCGAGATTTGATGGCCCTTTCGAGGTATTGAGGCGTGTTGGGGAGGTTGCTTATGAGCTTGCCTTACCTCCCAGCTTGGCAGGAGTTCATCCGGTATTCCATGTTTCGATGCTCCAGAGGTATCACGGTGATCCGTCGCACGTGTTGGATTTCAGTTCAGTTCAGTTGGAGAAGGATCTATCCTATGTTGAGGAGCCAGTGGCTATATTGGACAAGCAGGTCATGAAGTTGAGGGCAAAGGACATTGCGTCCGTAAAGGTTCAGTGGCGGGTTCAGCCGGTCGAGGAGGCAACTTGGGAGACCGAGCGGGATATGCGCAGCCAGTACCCTCATCTTTTCACTACTTCAGGTATGTTCTCTATGCTCGCTCAAGGACGAACGAATGTTTAAGTGTAGGAGGATGTGACGACCCGGCAGGTCATCTTAAGAATTTACGCCCCGATCCCCTATTACCTGCTTACCCTAAGTTCATTTCTGCTATTTTTGGTTTGCCGGGACGTTCGGTGTTGAGTTTCGGAGAGTTTTGGGACACTTAGTCCCTAAATGAGTGCTTAAGTGTTGAAAAGTAATCCGTAGTCGGAACAATGTGAAGACGACCTCGGAATGGAAATCCGATGGTTCCGTTAGCTCCGTTAGGTAATTTCGGGGTTGGGAGCGTGTTCGGAATGTATTTTGGAAGTCCGTAGCTCATTTAGGCTTGAAATGCCGAAGTTTGAATTTTTGAAGTTTCCGGTCCGATAGTGAGTTTTTGATCCGAGGGTCGGATTGGAATTCCAGAAGTTGCAGTAGCTCTGTCATGTCATTTGGGATGTGTGTGCAAAATTTTAGGTCATTTGGACGTGTTTTGGTTAGGTTTTTGATCGAAAGCGTATTTTGATAAAAATTGAAGTTCTTAGGCTCAAATCCTTGTTTAATTCGAGTTTTCGGCGTTGCTTTAGGTGGTTTAAGGATTGGTGCAAGTTTGAATGAGGTATTAGGTGTTATTGGTGCTTTTGGTTGAGGTCCCGGGGGCCTCGGGATGATTTCGGGTGGTTAACGGAAGAATTTTGAAGTGTTGCAGCAGCTGAAGTGTTCCTCTTCTGGTATTTTCGCATCTGCGGCTTGGGAACCGCAGATGCGGCGCCGCAGAAGCGGCTAAGTGGCCCTTTTTCCCTCAGAAACCGCAGAAGCGGAGCCGCAGAAGCGGGTCAGGCATCGCAGATGCGGGCTCCTGTATCTCCTTAGTTTTCGCAGAAGCAGATGTTCCTCCGCAGATGCGGTGTCGCACCTGCGACCCTTTTATCGCAGATGCGGTCCCTGCCTTTTTAAAGAAAACCGCAGAAGCGGCTCTTGTTCCGCAGAAGCGGGACCGCAGAAGCGGTCCCTTGTCCGCAGAAGCGGAAATGCCTGTGCAGATATAGAAATTCCGGGGGTTAGATTTCTTAAGTTAGAAAAATCAAATTGAGCTCGGGAAGGGCGATTTTCAGAGGGTTTTGAAGAGAAGACTATTGGGTAACGTTTCTTAAATCCCTTCTAGTTATATTTCATCATTTTGTAGTTAAACCCATCATTAAAATTCGAATTTGGGATCAAAAATTGGAAAATTGGGTGAAACTTCATAGGCTAAACTATTGGGTATTTGAGTGGGTGTTTGACCTCCGATTTGGGAGATTTTTATATGGTTAGACTCGTGAGAGTACGAGGGTTCTGAAAATGTGAAAATTATTCGATTCCGAGGCGTTGGCCTGAAAGGTATTTTGGTCATTTTACCTAATTTCACGTCGTAGCTTTGAATTTAATAGTAAAACCAGTTGGTTGCGATGTTATTCACAATATGTAATTGAATTGAATAGATTTGGGCCATTTGGAGTCGGATACTCGTGGCAAAGGCGTGATTTCTAGTTGATTTTGAGCCGGTTCGAGGTAAGTGGCTTGTCTAACCTTGGGACTGCGGGTTAGATTCCCGATAGATCCCCTTGCACATTGATAGCTGGACTACGAGACGGTATCCTGGGAGATCCTCATTGTTACCATTGGTATTGAGCTGTACTTATTCTGTGTTTGCTTCGTTCTTTGTGTATTTGTTATTGCTTTGTTTAGTCTGTCTTATTCCACTGCTGTACTCACTGTTACTGCCTATTTTCATACTGTTGACTTACATTATAATTGTTTAACCTCAGTAGGGCCCTGACCTTCCTCGACACTACCCAACCGAGGTTAGGCTTGGCACTTACTGAGTACCGCTGTGATGTACTCATGCCCTTCCTGCGCATGTTTTTTCATGTGCAGATCCAGGTACCTCTACTCAGGCGCACTATCCTTGAGGCGAGGAGATACACGGAGACTTCGAGGTATATCTGCCGCGTCCGCAGACCAGGAGTCTCTATTCTGTTCCAGCTTTAGTATCTAGTTTATCCCTTTTCTCTCAGTTGTTTAGATATTCTGGAGTTAGAGCAACGTACTATGTTTCTGTTAGCCTGTGGTTCCCGTGAGTTTCCGGGTTTTGGGATTGAGTTGTAGACTTCCGCGTTTCTTTTGAGTTGTATAGGCCGAGCGGCCTTATATGCAGTTATTATTTTGATATGTTCAGTTCTAATTAAATTATTCCGCAAGTTAGGTTGTTATTTCCGCATTGTTAGGCTTACCTAGTTATAGGGACTAGGTGCCATCACGACATGTTCACGGAGGGCGAACTGGGGTCATGACATAAAGTCATAATCCCAAAAGTAAATGTTTCAATTCACGGATTTTTCTCCTGTTTGATCACTTTTTTAAGCTTGTTACTTGAAAATTGTGCAAGATCATCTCCAACATCTACTACAGAGGACCCATCCTCTTCTCTACTTCTTTTTGCAGGGGTATTTGCAGGAGAAGTCATATCATTTTCAGCCATTGAATCCTACAAAGGAAAAATTAATTATTAAAAACCATATTGTAGATAAGAAGCTATACAGGCAAAGTTTGAATTAGTCACCTTGAAAGTTGTGTTTGCATCAGTGTGTTGTTGACACTCAAAATCAGGGTCCTATTAAGAAAATAGTAACATAATTAATTTAAACTTGATAATCCCTTATATAAAATCAAAAGAAAAATTAGTGTATTATGAAGTATTTGAGTATCGATCACATACAGTGAATGTATCATCTTGTGCAGATTGCTTATATTGCTGTATAAGGTTATCGTCCTCGCTGATTTTAACAACATTATAAACTTCCGCATGCACTTTAATGTTGGAGCTCTTGACACTCACTTTAAACAGGACTTTTTTGTCAAGAATATCATACAACTCCACTGGATAAGAACACTCATCAACAGCAGCAGAAGCCTAAGACCGAATTAGTGTTAGAAATGGTAAAACGCAAAGAATTACCTTTCTTACCTTTTATTGAAAAAATATAGTAACAATTAAAATAAATAAAATATACCTCAATTGAAATTTTATTTAACTCATTAGCAGACTTCCCAATGAGACTTATTGCTTCACGATCCCAAAGCAACAAAGATATAAAGCCAGTGTGATCCATCACTTGCACTCGAAGCTTGTACCTAAAAGAGACGTTTAGAATAAGAAATCGAAACTTTAGTTTCATTTAATATTTTATAGTAAAATTGGTCCTTATTTTTGTAACTTGCAACTTTAGTTCTATTTCACAGTAAATAGTGAAGCTTATCAAACCTATGAGTGGCAGAACTATCAAGGCGATCACATTTCTTGCAGTGAAATTTACTTCCAATTTTGTCAACCTTCTTCGAGCATCTCTTGCACCCCAAATATGACCATTCTTTTTCAAGTAGAAGATTCACTACAGTCGCAACAATCTAAATATGTCCTTCCTGAAAAGAAGTCAAGTTGTAGCAAATTTGATTGTTGGAATCTATATATAAATGCCAAGAGCATAAGCTGTGAAATTCTATTTATGTCCCAAAACCAAAAATATAAGTAACTAAGCATAGATATTAAATTAGTTCCATTAAATGATACCTTCAATAGTTCAATCTGTAAGCATTCAGATGCATAAGGGAATATCACATGAACAGAAGCATTTAGGATTTCAGTTGTACAATGTTTCTCCTACTGTAATCATTCGAGAAACAGAAAGGAAAGACATTGCAACCACTGCACCAATAGCTGATGCTTGGGCTCTAAGTCTTAAGGGGAAGATTTCAGATGTTATTACCCAACAACAGTAAAGAAAGTGTGAATTTCCGTGCCCTGCTGCTTGCTGAATTTCTGCTAACTTTCTTCTTTTTATTAGTGAAGTTTCAGATTGTGAAATGCTCATAAACTTACGTAACAGGTATTCCAAAAAACATATATGTGCACATTTAGGAAAACAAATAGTATTTTTAGACCTAACAGTGTTAAACATACACAACATAACGTTAGTTAAATACTAAAGGAGTCAAATAGATTAGTCACCTCCATGCAGTCGACCAATTCGCTAATAGTTTTAACTTCTACATTTCCAGTAGCCAACTCATCAGAAACAGAATAACTACGCTGAGAAGGTATTTGAGTGTTCCTGGCAGAGTTAGCTTCATTTACACTTGCCATTCTGTATTTACGCAAGCTTGTATTAGTTTTAACCATAAACAGTTATTTGTGTAGTATCCACATAAACTTAATTTATGAAATAACTAACCTGGACTTAAAATCAATAGCTTGAGGAAGATCCGGGTTAATCCAGAGCTTTGAGGCATGCCAAGTATTACGCACAGAATATTTGCCTATATATAACTTTAGTTTCTGAACCAAAAAATTAACATAAAAAAATTATCCCATGTCATCAAGACAATAGAAATACCATGAAATTTGTGAGCTTTTATCAACTGCATAACAATTATGACCGGCTGATGGGGTGATCCCTGTTAATGTGGCAAGATTTGGTCAACGAATTCTCCCCAAAATGTTGCCGAGATATTATTCCTTCTGTGTAATTTACATAACAACTTAATTAGACAACGATAAGTAATCATGTTAATATATAACAACTTAATCAGACAACGATAAGTAATCATGTTCAAATATATAACAAAGTAAATTCATAGACGCAATCTTACTCATGATCTTCAAGCTCCACATTCATATAATTGCTGGTTTTATCACCTTGGTTATGAGATTCTACCTCACCATAACTTACAACCTCTCCAATGACATCTATAATAATTTCAAAAAATAATCATGAGAAAGTTGATAAGACATTAAAATAAAAGAACTGCGAATTGAATACTTACCGAAGAGTTCACTTTCTTCAACATCAATTTTGTTTATCAAATACTCATAAGGTTTTAAGTCGAAGATAGTCATACCAAAAAGATGATCATTTGCTTCCTCTACAAATGTCTTATGAGTAAATGCCAACTTCAATTTATGTCGCGTTTATTTAAGTTTTGTATAATTTGGTCCAACCACAAAGTTCTTCATAACGTACAAACCCAATTTTTTTATCTTTGGTTTGAACATACGTATAAGTGACCGACCAACAGTCGCATGAATACGATCGCCCTAGAATCAAAAAATTCATAAATAATATAGAGTCAGACAAATAATCAGTTGTACAGTGTTTTAGTCAAACTTTTTTGAAAAAATAAGTGCAACTAAAAAAGAATGGACCTTTTCGTCTTGAATAATTAATTCAAGGGAGACGGAGTTGTCTGGTTTGTCGCGGTCTGGAACGTGCCACAATCTCACTATTTGTACCTTCAAATTCCAATTCATCTTGTTACTCGATATATTGCAAATATAGTTAAATGCCGTCATATTTCTTCTTCGAGAAAACTTTATAAGAGGATTGTCTTTCTTTTGGCATCAAATTCCGTATATATATATATATATA